TATTTTTAGTAGAGACAGGGTTTCATCATCTTGGCCTGGATGGTTCGTGATCTGCCTGCCTCAGTCTCCCAGAGTGCTGGGATTACAGGCATGAGCTGGGAAGAGAGGGATGCGGAGACCATGAAGATGCTTGTGGACAATGGTCTGAGGTTGGGACAGTGGCAGGAGACACCACTGACCCCAGGACACCATTTACTCCAGGAGATCCAGACACTATTGACCCTGGATCTCCAGGACAAGGGAGCAGCCTGGCAGTTACATGTGTTTTTCTTCAAACTGGTTGCCAGGTTGGAATGACCGATGACATCAGAGATTCCAGCCTTCCTGATTGGACCGCACTCTGTGGGCGCTGGGAAACCCAGGTGCACAACAGCATCTTCTCAGAGCTGCTCTCCACTCCCAACTTCTCCCGAGCCTTGAGAAGAGATAACGCATTTTTACTGGTCCTAATACAGTGTGGAAGAAGGCTTTGGACAGAACAGGCACTAGGTTCCGTGGGAGGGAACAGAGTTTGGGAGACGTCATGGCCAGGTGTCAACTGCAGCCGCAGCTTGATGAGAGGAGCCTCCAGCCTAGCACCTCGGGGTACTCCCTCCTGGAGGTGATAGATGATGAAGTGCCAGGACCATCAGGTGAGGGGACTGGAGGAAAAAGAGATGGGAGAGGATTGACTAAGAAGAAGGAAGGGGGCCGGGCAAGGTGGCTCACACCTGTAATACCAGCATTATAGGACGATGAGCTTGGGTGGATCACCTGAGGTCAGGAGTCAGATATAAGCCTGGCCAATACGGTGAAAATTTGTCTCTACTAAAATACAAACATTAGCTGGGTGGTAGTGGTGTGTGCCTGTAATCCCAGCTACTTGGGAGGCTGAGGTATGAGAATCGCTTGAGCCTGGGAGGCTGAGGTTGCAGTGAGCCGAGATCGCGCCCATGCACTGCAGTCTGAGGGAAAGACTGAGACCCTTTTTTTAAAAAAAAAAAGAAGGGCCCACAAGTCAGGAAGAAGCTCCTGAGGAGGGTGTGTGGGAAGAAAGTGGGGACTCAGGCCGGGTGCAGTGGCTCACACCTGTAATCCCAGCACACTGGGAGGCTGAGGCAGGCGGATCACTTAAAAACAGGAGTTTGAGACAGCCTGGCCAACATATTGAAACCCCATTTCTACAAAAAGTACAAAAATGACAGGGGCTTTATGGCGGGCACCTGTAAGCCGAGCTACTTGGGAGGCTGAGGCGGGAGAATCACTGGAACCCAGGAGATGAAGGTTGCAGTGAGCTGAGATGGCACCACTACACTCCAGCTTGAGTGACAAAGCAAGACCCTGTCTTAAAAAAAAAAAAAAAAAAAAATGAGGGACTCAGAGAGCCAGGAACCAGGGAAGGAAATGAGGAAGCATTCTGAGGACAGACAGATGGAAGAATGGGGAGGAGAAGGAGAGGCACATGGGGTTCGGCAAGGGAGAAGCCAACAGCCTTCGGGGCTGGGGAGGATGGAGAGTGGTTTGGGGTTTGGGGTCAGGGTCAAAGGTGATCAATTGCAGGCACATTAATTACACGGTGGCCTGCTTTCTTTACTCAGTCCCTTGGGTAGATCCCGGCACCCCGAGTAAGTTCCTTTGCTGGAACAGGAAGAGGGAGTGGTCGGACCAATCTGAGGAGCCGCCCAAGGAGGAGGCAGAGAAGGAGCGCGCCCCTGAGCCTGAGGAGACCTGGGTGCTAGACACCCTGTGTGGGCTCAAGATGAAGCTAAAGCGACAGCGAGTGTCACCCGTGCTCCCTGAGCACTACAAGACCTTCAACACGCTGCTTGGTAGGAGGACACCCCAGAGAGCACCTCCGATCTTGTTCTTTTAAAAAAGAAGCTTCCCATAACTATACTTTTCACATGGGAAAAATATGCCCCCCAGTGGGTGAGCTCTCCACGTGGGAGGACTCAGAGGATCCTCAGCATCACTCATGAGGGACACTTAGGAGGCCATAGAGGACTCGGCTAGACTTGATAAGGGTCTGTGATTGGGATAAGAAAGCTTGGTTTCGGCCAGGCGCAGTGGCTCAAGCCTGAGATGCCAGTACATTGGGAGGCCAAGGTGGGTAGATCATCTGAGGTCAGGAGTTGGAAACCAGCCTGACCAACATGGTGAAAGCCCGTCTGTGCTCAACATAAAAAATTAGATGGGTGTGGTGGCACAAGCCTGTAATCTCAGCTACTCAGGAGACTGAGGCAGGAGGATGACTTGAACCAGGGAGGCAGAGGTTGCAAGTGAGCCGAGATGGCGCCACTGCATTCCAGCCTGGGTGACAAAGTGAGACTCTGTCTCCAAAAAATAAATGAAAATAAAAATAAAATAAAAACAAAATAAAAAAACATAGAAAGCAGTTTCAGCTGTACCCTCTGAAACTTAATGTCTGTTGCTGACTTTATTTGCTTTTTAGAGACGGAGTCCTCCCCTGTCACCCAGGCTGGACTGCAATGGTGTGATCTTGGCTCACTACAACCTCCGCCTCCTGGATGTAAGTGATTATCCTGCCTCAGCTTCCCGAGTAGCTGGGAAAGATCATGCCACGCCAGCTAATTTTTTATATTTTTAGTAGAGACGAGGTTTCACGGTGGTAGTCAGGATGCCCTTGAACTCCTGACCTCATGATCTGCTCGCCTCCAATTTCCAAAGTGCTGGGATTACAGGCTTGAACCACCATGCCCACCCGCTATGCTTTTCTTCAAACAGGCTGCCAGGTTGGAATAATCAGTGACATGAGAGATTCCAGTCTTCCTGATTGGACTGAAATGTTGGTCCTTGGGAGCTCAGGTGGACGACAGCATCTTCTTAAGAGCTGTTCTCTGCTCCTGACTGCTCCCCAGCCTTGAAAATATAGAACACACTCTGCTGGGTCCTAGTCAAGTCTGGAAGAAGGCTTTGGACAGAACAGGAACTAGGTTCCGTGGGAGGGAACAGGGTTTGGGAGAGATCATGGCTAGATGTCAACCACAGCCCCAGGTTGAAGAGAGGAGCCCACAGCCTAGCACCTTGGGGTACTGCCTCCTAGAGGTGGTAGATGATAAAGTGCCAGGACCAGCAGGTGAGGGGACTGGGGCAAGAAGAGATGGGAGAGGATTGACTAAGAAGAAGGAAAGGGGCCGGGCGCAGTGGCTCACACCTGTAATCCCAGCACTTTGGAAGGCTTACGTGGGTGGATCACCTGAGGTCAGGAGTTTGAACCCAGCATGGCCAACATGGTGGAAGCCCGTCTCTACTGAAAATACAAATATGATCCTGGCAGTACTGGTGCACACCTGTAATCCCAGCTACTCAGGAGGCTGAGGCAGGAGAAGTGCTTAAGCCTGAAAGGCAGAGACTGCAATGAGCCGAGATCCTGCGACTGCACTCCAGTCTGAGTGAGGGAGTAAGACCCTGTGAGGAAAAAAAACAAAAAAGAAGAAGAAGGAAGAACACAGTGAACAGAAAGGAACACTTGAGGAGGGTATGGGGGAAGAAAGAAGGGACTCAGGCCAGGCGCAGGGGCTCACACCTGTAATCCCAGCACTCTGGGAGGCCAGGGCGGGTGGATCACATGAGGCCAAGTTTGAGACCAGCCTAGCCAACATGGTAAAATCCTGTCTCTACAAAAAATACAAAAATGAGCTGGGAATTGTGGTGGGCACCTGTAATCCCAGATACCTGGAGGGCTGAGGCAGGAGAATCACTGGAGCCTGGGAGACAGAGGTTGCAGCAAGCCGAGATGGCAACACTACACTCCAGCCTGGGCAACAGAGAAAGACTTTGTCTCAAAAAAAAAGGAGGGAGTCAGAGATCCAGGGACTAGGAAAGGAAATGAAGCATTCTGAGGACAGACAGATAGAAGAATGGGGAGGAGAAGGAGAGGTACATGGGGTTCAATAAGGGAGAAAGATGGGAAAATGGCTTACAGAAGCCAACAGTCTGCGGGGCTCGGGAGGATGGAGAGTGGATTGGAGTTTGGGGTTGGGGTCTAAGGTGATCAATTGCAGAAGCATTACATGGTGGCCTGCTTTCTTCACTTGTCTCCTTGGGTAGATCCTAGTACGCCTAATATCCTTTGCTGTAAAAGGAAGAGGGAGTGGTCAGACGAATCTGAGGAGCCGCCCAAGGAGGAGGCAGAGAAGGAGCGCGCCCCTGAGCCTGAGGAGACCTGTGTGCTGGACACCCTGTGTGGGCTCAAGATGAAGCTAAAGCGACGGCGAGTGTCACCCGCGCTCCCTAAGAACTACGAGGCCTTCAACACGCTGCTTGGTAGGAGGAAACCCTAGAAAGCACCTCTAATCCTTTTCTTTTAAAAGAGGACAGTTTCCATAACCATGCTTTCCCAACGGGAAATGCCCCCCAGTGGGTGAGCTCTCCATGTGGGAGGACTCAGAGGATTCAAAGCATCTCTCCTGAGGGACACTTGGGAGGCCACAGACGATTTGACTAGACTTGATAAAGGTCAGTGACAGGGATAAGAAAGCTTGCTTTGAGGCCAGGCACGGTGGTTCATGCCTGAGATCCCATCACATTGGGAGGCTGAGGCAAGAACATCACTTGAACTCAGGACTTTGAGGCTGCAGTGAGCTATGACTGCACCACTGCACTCCAGCCTGGGTGACAGACCAAAACCCTGTCTCAGAAGAAAAACCAAGGCTGGGTGCAGAAGCTCATGCCTGTAATCTCGGCACTTTGGGAGGCCAAGGTGGGTAGATTATCTGAGGTCAGGCGTTCGAGACCAGACTGACTACCACGGTGAAGCCCCGTCTCTACTGAAAATACAAAATTAGATGGGCATGGTGGTGCACGCCTGTGATCCCAGCTACTCGGGAGGCTGAGACAAGAGAATCGCTTGAACCCAGGAGGCAGAGGTTGCAAGTGAGCCGAGATCGCGCCACTATATGCTATCCTGAGCGGCAGAGTGAGAGTCTGTCTCCAAAAAATAAACAACAATAAAAGAAAGAAAACAAAATCAAAAAAACAAAGAAAGCGGTTTAGCTGTCCTGTCTGAAACTTAATGTCCCTTGCTGACTTTTCTCATTTATTTATTCATTCATTCATTCATTTGAGAAGGAGCCTGCCCTATCGCCCAGGCTGGAGTGCAATAGCGTAATCTCAGCTCACTGCAACCTCTGCCTCCCAAGAGTAAGCAATTCTCCTGCCTCAGCCTCTCAAATGGCTGGGATGACAGGCCAGCACCACCACGCCTGGCTGAATTTTTGTATTTTTAGTAGAGATGAGGTTTCACCATGTTAGGCAGGATGGTCTCCAACTCCTGACCTCATGATCTGCCCGCCTCGGCTTCCCAAAGTGCTGGGATGACAGGTGTGAGCCACCGTGCCTCACCTCTATGTTTTTCTTCAAACTGTTTGCCAGGTTGGAATGACCAAAGACATCTGCAATTCCAGCCTTCCTGATTGGAAGGACCAAACTCCGTGGGCGCTTGGGAGCTCAGGTGGACAACAGCATCTTCTCAGAGCTGTTCTCCACGCCCGACTTCTCCACAGCCTTGAGACTAGAGAACTCACTCTTCTGGGTCCTAGTAGAGTATGGATGAAGGTTTTCAGCAGAACAGGGACCAGGTTTCATGGCAGGGAACAGAGTTTGTGAGAGATCATGGCTGGCTGTCAACCTCAGCCCCAGGTTGAGGAGAGAGGCCTCCAGCCTAGCACCTCGGGGTACTCCTCCTGGAGGTGGCGGACGATGAAGTACTGGGACCATCAGGCGAGGGGACTGGAGGAAGACGAGATGAGAGAGGACTGAATAAGAAGAAGGAAGGAGGCCAGGCAGGGTGGCTTATGCCTGTAATCCCAGCATTTTGGGAGGTCATGGCAGTTGGATCACCTGAGGTCAAGAGTTTGAGATGAGACTGAAAAAATGGTGAAATCCTGCCTCTACTAAAATAACAAAAATTACCCAGGCAGTAGTGATGCATGCCTGTAATCCTAGCTACCTGGAAGGCTGAGGCAGTAGAATTACTGAGCCTGGGAAGCGGAGGTTACGGTGAACTGAGATTGCGTCTCTGCATTCCAGTTTGGTTGAGAGAGTGGGACCCTGACTCAAAAAAAAAAAAAAAAAAAAAAAAAAAGAAAAAGAAAGAAAGAAAGACCCAGAAGTCAGGAAGGAGCGACTGAGGGAGTCGGTGGGGGAATAAAGGAGGGACTCAGGCTGGGTGCAGTGGCTCACACCTGTAACCCCAGGACTTTGGGAGGCCAAGGCAGGAGGATCACTTGAGGCCAGGAGTATGAGACCAGCCTGGCTAACAAGGAAAAACCTCGTCTCTACTAAAAGTACAAAATGAGCTGGGTGTTACGGTGGACACCTGTAATCCCAGCTACTTAGGAGGCTAAGGCAGGAGAATCACTGGAACCCAGGAGACAGAGGTTGCAGCGAGCCGAGATTGCACCACAACAATCGGCAATCCAGCCTGGGTGGCAAAGCAAGACAGTCTCAAAAAAAAAAAAAAAGAGGGGCTCAGAGAGCCAGGGACCAGGGAAGGAAATGCGGAATCGTTCTGAGGACAGACAGATGGAGGAATGGGGAGGAGGAGGAGAGGCACATGGGGTACAGCAAGGGAGAAGCCAACAGTCTGTGGGGCTGGGGAGGATGGAGAGTGCTTTGGGGTTTTGGGTCAGGGTCTGAGGTAATCAATTGCAGAAGCGTTACATGATGGCCTGCTTTCTTTACTCATCTCCTTGGGAAGGTCCCGGTTCGCCTTGGTTCCTTTGCCGTAAAAGGAAGAGGGAGTGGTCGGATGAATCTGAGGAGGAGCCCGAGGAGGAGACAGAGAAGGAGCGCGCCCCTGAGCCTGAGGAGACCTGGGTGCTGGAGACGCTTCAGGGGCTCAAGATGAAGCTAAAGCGACGGCGAGTGTCACCCGTGCTCCCTGAGCACCACCAGGCCTTCAACAGGCTGCTTGGTAAGAGGACACCCCAGACAGCACCTCTAATCCCGTTCTTAAAAAAGAAGAAACTTCCCATAACCATACTTTTCCCATGGTAAATACATGCTTCCCCAGTGGGTGAGCTCTCCATGCAGGAGGATTCAGAAGTGATCACTCATGAGGGACTTAGGAGGCCAGAGATGATTCAGCTAGGCTTGACACAAGGTCTGCGATTGGGGTAAGAAAGCTTGGTTTCAGGCCAGGTGCATGGCAGATGCCTGAGATCCCAGGAGGTTGAAAGGCTGAGGTAGGAGGATCGCTTGAACTTAGGACTTTGAGGCTGCAGTGAGCTATGACTGCACCACTGCACTCCAGCCTGGGTGACAGAGAAAAACCCTGTCAAAGAAGGAAGACCAAGGCCAGGTACATTAGTTCATGTCTCTGATGCCAGAATTTTGGGAGGCCGAGGCAGGTGGATCTATCAAGGTCAGGCCTTTGAGGAGGTCAGGAGTTCAGCCTGACGAACATAGCGAAACCCCATCTCTACTAAAAATACAAAACTCAGCCTGGTGTGGTCGCACATGCCTGTAATCCCAGCTATCCAGGAGGCTGAGACAGGAGAATCGCTTGAACCCCGAAGGGGGAGGTTGCAGTGAGCCAATATCACACCACTTAACTCCATCCTTAGCAACAGAGCGAGACGCCATATGAAATAAAGAAATACAAAAATAAAGAAAAACAAAATCAAAAAACAAAGAAAGCATTTCCAGTTGCGCCATCAGAAA